ACGCCGCCGGGCACGGAGCTCGCCGGGACGGACGCCGCGGACCCCCGGACCGCCGTCAGGAACCAGGACGCCCCGCTCTGCAGAAGGGACGTGCGGGGTCACGGGTTTCCCGCTGTGCCTGGCAAGCAGATGCTGGTGTTCCCAGCGGGACGGGCTGCGGGACACCGGGGCTTCCCCGAGGGACACGCCGCAGTCCTGGAGGGACCCGCCAGCCCGGGAAGCTCGTCCTGCTCACCTCTCTGGGAGCATGGTGGCCAGAGACCACAGCTCAGACCCAGCGGGGGCAGGTTAAGAAGAGGGAGAGGTTGTCCAGGAGAAAGCTGACTCGGGGACATCACCTCCAGTCTGATGACATGCTTTTGGTGGGGTGATGGAAGAAGCTGGCTGCAGTTGGGTGCAGCATCCCCAGCTCCCCGCGCCCAGGCACCTGCATGCCAGGAACGCTGGGTTTGCTCATCTGTGGAAGCAGCAGGATGCTGCGCAGGGGCCACGAGGACACAACGGCACAAATTTGGCCCGATGGGGTGATCCTCCCACCTCCCGCACCCGTGAGCAGCGGTGTAGGTGCAAGGTCAGGCTGTCCCCTTGGGCATCACGCAGCGGTTGTACGGAGCCTGGCCCCTGTCAGCAAGGCAAAGGGAGAAGCTCCAGAGCTTGCTAATAAAACATTAGCACCTTACAGTCCTGTGCTTTTTATTTCACCGAGGTGACCTGCGATCACTTCTGCTCTAAGCGAAAGGAGTGGTCCAACCCAGCACAGGGCAAACCAGACCTTGGTGCCAACCACGGCCAGGTCTCCTGATCACAAACCCTCCAAAAAACCCGTTACCTCGTTCTGTGGGTTCCAGCTGAAGGGCTCCCACCGAGAGCAAGTGTGAGATAAGGCTGGTGAAAAATTTTTGGTGCAAGAGAGCTGCACAACCCGGCCTGGATACACGTCAGACACAGATATGGGTGTGGGTACAGATATGGGCATCTGACGTTTGAAATACTTCTTGCTGTTGTTTCTAAACAATCCTATAGCACAGCTAAAAATGCCAAGACAGAAAGACGTCCCCAGAGGCTGCTTAAAATCCTTGTTTCTAGTTGAAGTGACAATTCTATTTTCACTGGAATTGAGATAAGGCCTTTCTTACATGGTGCAGGAGACAGAGATGTCCAGAGGAGGAGGAGTTAAGTTCACATGACATTGTTACAGTAAATTGCCTTCCTAATTCCATGATGGCTTTTAAACGCTCATCTCAGCTTTTACTTTGACCTTACTTAAAGATAGATCTTTCACACATCCCCTTCAATCTCCCTTCTTACAACCAGAGAGAATCTACACCACTAAGGTCACATGAGGTCTCTGAACTACAACACCCATCCTGCTACAGCAAAACTGGGGTTCTATTTCCATAACTGACCCACCACAGCAGCAACTAAACCAGTTAAATTTCAGTCCTGTTAATCCCAACTTCTTAAATGGGTTTATGAGGTTTTAAATTAAACAGCCAGTAATTAAATAGGTATTTTTAAAACAGGTGTTCTCAAACCATTGAAGAATCAGTGTTCTTGTGCTGCACAGTAACAGTCAGATATTATTTTTCTGGAAGGTTTTAAATCAGGGTTTGGACAAGGAGGTGATCATAGAATCATATAATGTGTGACCAGGGACATCCCCAACTAGAGCAGGTTGCTCAGAGCCCCATCAGGCCTGACCTCGAGTGCCTTCAGGGATGGGGTCTCCCACCACCTCTCGAGGCAGCCTGGGCCAGGGTCTCACCCTCTTCATAGTAAAGAACCTCTTCCTCCTGTCTGATCTAAAGCTCCCCTGCTCCAGTTTAAAGCCATTGCCCCTTATCCTGTCTCCACACACCCTTATAACCAGTCCTTCCTCAGCTTTCCTGTGGGCCCCTGCAGTACTGCAAGGTTGCTATAAGGTCCCCCCAGAGCCTCCTCTTCTCCAGGCTGAACAAACCCAACTCTCTGAGCCTGGCCTTACAGGAGAGCTGCTCCAGCCCCTGGATCCCTCCTGTGTCGAGGGCACCAGAGCTGGACACAGTACTCAAGGTGAGCTCTCATCAGAGCAGAGTGGCAGAATCACCTCTCTCAATCCCAAACATGAGAAGCAGGATGGAAGAAAGTACTTTTGATCTTACTTTGTGCCTGCTAATACGCAAATCTGATCTGAGTATGTCAGAATCAGCCCATGAAGCAGATACGGTTGGCTGCAGCTTGTTACGAACATACCTGAAACATCCCTATCCTCTTGCTATTTCTGTTTACCTAATAGATATCATTAAAGTAACTATTGAAAATGATTGAGAACAGGCACAAATGCAGTAGAAGAATTTAAACCCCCCCAGATGAAGCAGCACAAAATTATCTTGGAAAGGACAGACAGCCTTTTTCTCTTGGGACTGCCATTGCAACACGTAAAAACCCCACAACAATCCCAGGTGAGCCACAAAAGGATGTTTTCTTCTGAGATCATTCTCAAATTTAGATTTCCTACCCAAAGTCAGAATAGTACCAAGTTACCTGTGCATTAGAACACAGTGAAAACAAAGAATAAACAGTGCTTTTCCAAAATATTTGCTTTGCCTTGTGTTCTGTGCCAGGTTTTGTAAATTTAGCATTAAACACTTGCCATTAGTGATATTTTGGGCTCTATTCAGGAACTAGGAAGTACTTTCTGCAAGTCAATGGAAGGTGAAGGTGTTCACTTTGCCACATGTCACCACAACACTGTGGAGCTTTAAATGAGCTGTGTCAATAAGGTTTTATTCAGCAGTCAGGTGAATCAGTGGAGCTCACCTAATGCATCATCTGTTAAACACATTAAAAAACAAACCCTTTATTCGTTTTTAAGAAATCCGTGAACTATGCAAAAAAATTGCCATATAACAATTTAGAAAAGAGAAGAAATTTGCCAGATATACAGATATTTAACATTTTGATGGCAACATTTGAAAGATACATGTTCTACAACGTCAGTTATGAGTAACCTGCTCACGTAGGGCTTCTACAAAGAACATTTGCAGCTACTTTCATGTGTAAAACAAAGAGAAATACATTGTGATGAAATGTAAAAACAGCACTTGTAAATCAAGTGCTTTGGGCAGAAAAAAATAAGCTCTTCCTTATTTATCAGGAATATGATATTTTAACCTTAAGGAAGCTCTGAATATCATTGTCAAATATACATGTTAGAGGCTCCAAACCCCACTAACAACACCTTTTGTTATTTCAAACAACATTCAAAACACATTCCATAGTACTTAAACAATTTACATATCTCAGAAAGTACCCTTTATTGCTAAATAGCTTGCTGGTGACAAACCTGAGCTGCTGAAGTAATCTGAAATCATCTGCTGAAGAACTTGCTAGTACATATGTATGAGCAGAAGAATGTATCACTGTAACCACAAGTGAAATGTTCTTTTGTACTTTAGAGCTGCAAGCTCCTTTTGACATTTTTAATGCTTAAAAGTTTGCTAGATTTGGTTTAGAGCAATTTAAACAAGTCTTTCCAGAGGTCCCTGAGGTTCCAGGAATAATCAAATTACTTAACTAGGTGCTTAAACAGGGAGATCAGTACTTAAAGGCAACCAAGGTTAAATGTTTTTAATGGCAACAAACATTTAAAAGGTGCTAATGGAATGATGGAATTTCATTTCTCTTTTCTCATACATGTATCATGGACTACAGTGTAGCTACTCACTGGAGCTAGGGTGTCAGAACCCAACTCAAAATGTACCTGTAATGCCTGTCAGCCAACAATTAACAAGAACTACACCAATTTTCACTTCTGTTCTCTGCAAAATGTTTTTTTTTTTTTTTTTTTTTTATTAACCATATTTATCAAAATATGCCAGTACAAAATATTCAAGAAGCTCTTACTAAGGTGATACAAAGGACAGTTATTGCTGTACAGTTACACTGGCTCTCACTGTGGGACTGGCTGCTGCTCGTTCTCTTTCTTTAGCAATTTCCATCTCTATTTTGGCTTTGATTTTATTCCAATCAACTTCCAGCTGTAAGAAGAGAAAAGCGAGTATGCAGAGGTCAACTAACATCACAGAGAGAGGTCAAAGAGACAGAGTAGTTCATTAAAGGGACAATTTAAAGTTACAAAGTGACCATATCAATCATTATCTAGCTCTTCATGCATAAGTGATGACTTATACTAGTATATGGAATGTGTAAGTTTTAAGAAATGGAGCTCTCCACCTTTAAAATAACCAAATAGTGATATATTTTAGCAAATACTAATACATCTCATCGTGTCTGGCAAAGAAAATATTAAACTGTGAATATAACTTGGATCAGCTTGCATCCAATTTAAACGTAATCACATCCCATGGCTGCACATACAGCCCTTTATCAGTAATACACGCAGGGATCTCTTTTGCCTGCACCTCAACTCCACCAAGTAAGCTGATAGCATATTACCCTAGTTATCTGATATAACAGAAATCCCAGTTCTGCCTGAAAATTGTCTTCCACATCAATAACTGTTTTAGCTTTTCTTGGCATTTCTCCAGCTGCAGAGTCATCATCTTCTGGCTGTATTCTGTTCCAGGGAAATTTAGACAATAGATATGGTACAAGATCCATGGTACAGTGGGGTACAACAGTTGGCTTTTTGTTTCAAAAACGCCTGACAAGAAAGAATGGATCATGGTCCGTTTGATGACTATAAAAACATGTCCACAAACCTAACTGCAAAGCTCAGTTTCATTGCTGGAGAATTCAGATTGTCAAAGATGGGACAGAAAAAAAAAAACAACCTCAAATGCTGCACAGGGAGTTTTCAGAGTAGCTGCTACCCTGTGAACTAAGTCATGAAACAAGACAGAAGATTCTCTACGAGGGAAGATGTAACTGCAACACCAACATCCTCATGTGAAAAGGTTAATCCCTCAACCCAGGACACATTTACTGGGTCCAGGTGCTTTGGATCTGATGACTTTACAGAATATTTATGGAGCTCTAAGGAAGAATGTGTTTGCTTTAACAGCTCGCATGCAGATGCTGAACATACCATGTGCAGGGCTAATTCTGCCATCTAGCCCAGAGAGCTACTTGCCAGTGAGGCCAGTGACACCTCGGAACTGCCAAGACACAGACTCTCAGCATACATATCGGGTTTGAAATACCTTGTATATAAAGATGTGAGATACAACAACTAAGCCCATTGTTTAGACTCCATATCCGACTGCAGATCTGTGCTCTCTGCTGCAGCACAGAGAAGAGGTAAAAATGTCTTACTTAAGCAGGAGGTTTAGGTGGTGAGAGGGAAACCGAGACTCTTATTTTCCCCTGAGAAGGACTAGCAGCACAAAATCTTGCTTTTCTCTTCAACGCCCTTCACGTTTCCTTTTTGCTATGAGTCTGACAGGCTGCATTAAGAATTTAGTTACCACTGTAGCCAAGAGCTTAAAATCTACTTCACGAAGTAAGTCCCCTCCTAGTTTCAGATGCAACAGAGAAGACATTGAGAGCCTGGATGCAGAAAACAACATCTTTACTCCAGAAACCTTCTGTATTCTGAGACCCAAGTTTCAAGACAGAGCAGAAGGTGAACAAGGCTCCACTTGCATCACTCTGCTCACACCTTGTCACCCAACAAGGTGTTATTGCTTAGGAACCCTTCCAGAAACTACAGCCTTCTCCATGATTTAAATACAAGACAGTATTATCTAAAAAGTCTCTTTCAGAAGTGTCAGGGGATTAACATGGTTTTTGCTCAATAATGGATTTAAAGTATGTAGAAGACAGACTTCCAGCAGAGCTGCTTTAATTGCTGCATGGTAAGAGTGCTTGGAATCCGTTCCATTATTTTTCTGTATTTTCTAGGTAAAGTACTGCAGAATGGTTCACTGGGGAGCTAGATATTGTACAGACTTTTATTCTTGTCTAGGAAATGAAACATCCTTAGAAGTGCTAAAAGCTAACAACTTACATTAGAAATTGAGCTTTCTTTAAAGTGTAATGGGCACTGTCCAGAGAAAGGATCTGAGCTAAGCACTTGGATCTGTCTCCTGACCCAGCAGCTACAGGGGATGAAAGGAGCTGACACAAAGTCCACGTCTCTCTGTCGTTTCACCTTCAGAATGCTCAGGATCAGCAATGGCACGAGCAGGAAGGACATCAGGGCTGCTCAGTGAAATCGCTGCACGTGTGGGTGCCTCTCAGAAAGGAGACACACAGAAGTACTCCAGTGGAATAATTTCACGCCACATTTGAACCAAAGAAGGAAAACCTAAGAACAATTCCCCCCTGCCCTCCCCAGCTGGCTACAAAGAGCAGGCTGACCTAAAGCTGGAGGAATAATTCTGAGGAATACTTACACCTTCGGCATACTGCAAAAATCTTTTGTTTGTTTCTTTTTTACCAAAGTCCTCTAGGAACTTTTGTCGATAAGCCAGGACTGTGTCAACATGTGTCTTGTGCTTTACTGCTAGTTCTAGAGCCCTGGAATGAAACACAAATGGGTTTGTCAGGCTATATAAATGCTCTGGCACAACCACGATCACCATGGTTGTGCAAAATGATATGCTGAATAACATTTGGGCTGCAGGCAAAGATTCCTAACCTATGGTGCCAAGTGATTGTACATTAGTATCACTCACAGGGAGTTAAAAGTAGCCAGTGAAGAAGACTATTTTGTGATGACTTCTGTGAAAAATATCCAAACATTACTTCCATTGACAACCTCATCACATCACTGGAGTTTGACAGTAGGAGTCTCTATTTTCAAGGAAATAAACCAGAATGGTTGGAGTTCAGCACTCTTAATATAAATGTGCAAAAGTAGTATTTTTGAATACCTTTATTATAGTCAGGAATCACTTCTGAACAGTGTCATAACAGACATTCATGGCGTATGCCACGTAGCATTACAAACATCCTACAGGCAGGAAAGACTAGTCATTGGATTAGTATAACTGCTAACTCTCACATCTGTTTTCTCACTGGCATAAGGAACACTCATGTTTGATGGATGCCGTTTTTAGATGATACATATTAGGCAACACAAAAACCACAGCCATGGGGGAAAAAACCCTTTTTGCCCACAGTGATATGAATATAACAGCAGAGAAATTAGTAATAAATAGACTCAGAAGATTCTGTTAGAAAACGTGGGGTTTTGTTTAAAGGAGAAATTCCTACTTTGTTTTCTCAGGCCTAATTCACATTTCATCCACCTACACAGTGCTAGGATTATCTATTTTTAGCAACAAGACATTTCAAAACAGCCTTAATTCACTGAGGGTCACACACAGTTTGAGGTATTGCTATGGGCTTTTCTGTGTTAACAACAATGGAAATGCAAAATGGTATTGAAAAATGCTTTCAAGCATGTTTTGGACTTTTATCAGGGAATACTTTCTAAATGGGACAGAAAGAGAGTTATTACTTTGGTTACGGCCAGGATATGATTTACCTCATCTTTTTACAGCTCTAGGCGATTATAGAGAGGAAATTAGGCAGCTAAGTATCTGCAATAAAGCAACTGATGTAAATTATTCACTGGTTACCTCTGTAAGACTGCTTATAAATATAATGTGCTTGAAGAAATACTACCTATCCCAATTGTAAAGATTTATGTTGACTTGGATAGCTTGGTAAACAAGGCCTGCTTGAAGAAGCAGGGTTTCAGCTTCCTGGGTGTTCCCACTGAAGAGCAGTATATGAGCCATCCTTGACTCTTTTGATGGAAGATCTTTGATGGAACTGATATACTGAACTTTGTCAATCTGTTAACAATGAGATATACAAGAGTTTAATAAGGGAAATTAATTAATAAAATTCATTTTTCAACAATGTAATTGGAAATAAGTAACACCATTTTCTTACCTCACCAATTGATGCGTAGGCGATTTCTGCTGTAGCCATGCCCTTGCTGGCAACCGCCATAGCAGCTAAACATGCCCACAGAGTTTGGTCCTGACATTTAAAAAGGAAAAAAAAAAAAAAACAAACTCCTAAAACTTCACAGTTTATTATCATGCTAAAGATGATTTCTCAAAGGAAGTATACAAGTCCTGAAAAAAAACACACAGAATGGTTTAGGTTGGAAAAGACCTTTAAGATCATCAAGTCCAACCATCAAGCTAACTGTACCAAGTACACTGCTAAACCATGTCCCTCAACCCCACATCTCCACAGCTTGGAAACCCCTCCAGGGGTGGGGACTCCACCACTGCCCTGGGCAGCCTGGCACAGCCCTGGGCAACGCTTTCAGAAAAGAAATTTTCCCTAATATCCAACCTAAACCTCCCCTGGTGCAACTTGAGGCCATTTCCTCTTGTCCCGTCCCTTGTTCCTTGGGAGAAAAGACCAACACCCACCAGACTCCAACCTCCTTTCAGGGAGTTGTTGAGACCAAGGTGGTCTCCCCTGAGCCTCCTTTTCTCCAGGCTGAACAAGCCCAGGTCCCTCAGCTGCTCCTCACAAGACTTGCACTCTTGGCCCCTTATACTGTATAACAATACAACATTTCTCTATAAGCCCTTTATGGCACCACGGTCTAAGTCTCTTATTAGAAAGTCACTATTCAATTGTTTCTCAGAACACCTTCATTACAAAAACATTGGTGTTGTGATCAGTGGACACTGACAATGTGGCTGAATGACTCTTCAGTTCCCAGCATCTCAGTCAACAATTAACTCCTGCCATAGTATGATTTCACAACCTCGTCATTGGTGTCCCGGACACTACTTGGGGAACTATGCTGAAAACCAAAGCACAACCACTGGTTGTGGCTAAAGAAATTATTTTAACCTGGCTCTTTTCAAGCTGGCTTCACAAGTACCTGTACTGGAACCGTGATGCTGACAAGAGCAGTAACTGTGCAATTGTCAATAACATACCACAAATGAAAGAGAAGCAAAAAAAACCCTGCTTGGCTGTAGAACATGCTATAAGCCTGCTGGAAAGTAAATAAGAGCTTCACAATTTCTGTCTTCTTTGTGGTATTTTCAGTACATGGTAATGATAATATTATACCTGGTTTTTTCATGAATTTAGCAGTATTTTTTTTTTTTTTTAACATAACCTTAAGGAAACGCCACGAAGTCAGAAAACCATTTAGGAAGATCCTGACATTTTGATATCTTCTCTTGTCAAGTCTGACAACGTTATGACAAAGATATACTACGAAAACATATTAGTTAACCTAGTTCAGGTTACCACATCTGAAAACTCTAGTTCAGACAGGAAAAATAAAACTTTGAATGGACTTCTGAGTCCAGATGCACTCCAGGAATTAAATGGTTTTTGTTAAATGTGTTCAACGACGAATTTGAAAATAAACACTTTGAACAGTGTTTATAGACACATATAGTGTAATAGAGCAGCATAGGATGACTATTAATTTAAATTGTAATAAAACGTTCAAAACACATTACTGTGCCTGTCTCACAATTGTTTTTGTATGAAACAAAACTCTGAACACCTCCTAAAGCCAATGAAATGCAGAAATTTAGCCTAAGGCTGTGGTTTCATCATCACTATCTCTGGCCACATGTTCCTGCTCTTCACCATGATTCAGGACAAGATTAACCTTCCTGCTGGTAGTCCATAATCCAGGAGAAATAAAATTATTTAGAGAATAAAATGCACATAAAATCTTTGTCATGTTCTCTTTCTACTTCCCAATTATTTAGAAAATTTGGTGATAAAATGCTGAAAGCTAAGCCCGAAAGGATGCAAGAGACCAAGTTTCTAGGAGTGTCTATGAAAGGACTAAACTCTTTTCTAGGAGTAAAGAGGAGAAAGGGAACAAGGTTTGGGGGGATTTTTGTCTGTTTTAAAGACTGCTAGACTCACCTCATCAGTTGCTGTTGCCTAAATGCATACAAAAGGAAGCAAAGGAAAAAAAAAACAAAAACAAGTGAAATAAAATATTAAAAAGTACTAGGCAACTGTATGTGGAGATGCAGTTCATATTTAACAGGTTATATTAAGGCCTAGCCCTAAAAACCTGAAGCTAGTAATAACTTCTGTGAGTACCTTTGTTCAATCCATATGGACTTCGGTGTGACCAGCATTAATAATTTTTATTATGTAAAAATGATGAGGTGATATGTATATTATGTCATTACGAAAAATGTCTAATTTTTCAGCCCCAAAATACTCAGCAACAAAGCAGAAGAATGGAAATGAGATGTAACATCTGACAGGCAGTTATGACTGAAGTAATACTTGAAAACATGAGCAAAATTATAACTGAGTGGTCCCACTAATTAGCATTTACCTTGACAAAGCGACAGAGTCTGACAGCATCTTCCCATTTAGACCCACTAGCATACTCATGAAGAATCGCAGGATAAGGTGAAATATTAAGGTGAACAAGTGAACCGTCTGCTCTTCTAATTGTTATCTGATTTCCTACAAAATGTACAATCTGGGGATTTTTGCTAAATTCACTGCGTAGAGAAAGAAAGGTAAGTTAATATTCACTTCTTTCATACTGAAAAGAACGTTTGGGATTTAAAGAAATCTTTGTTTCTAAATTGTACCGTGATTATACCTAATTTTCAGAGCATGTAAAAATCTAAGCACATAGTTATTACACAGTTATATCCAACAGGTAGTTGTAATGTCCTTTAAAAACAGAATAATAGTTACACACATTCACTAGCTGGAAGGCAAATGCAAACCGGGCATTGGTGCAAAAATGTTTAAATAAATTTTTCAGTGAAATATATTTGGGCTCCCATAACTCCTTCGAATGAAACAATGAATTCAGGTATTCTTTGTGAAGAATTCCATATCCCAAAGCGTACTGGCTGAAGTAAACATATAAAATAAAGATGCTGAGCTAGAAATATTGTTACCTGTGACCTAATATCTCGATACTTTTCATTTCCAGCAGATACTTTAAAGTGATCTTGTTTGTAAAAAAACAACCAAACAAAAACTGAGGCAATATTTCAAGAGATTTGATTAAAATTTTGCTTTGGCATCAAGGTGTTATTCTACTTTTAAACTGTGCATCATCATTTCTACTCCAAACTTTATGACAGGTCTTCTAACACACTTTTTCCTCATTTTCTAATCACAAAGTAGTAACATGAAAAGATTTTTAGAAGATCATTTAGCATTTAGAAGATGCAATGCTGGCTTCTACTTCAACTGCCCAAATTAACCTAATTCTTTAAGTTTATAACAACTCTTTAAGTTTAAATAATTTCTTTTAGTTAAAATACATAATAATACTATTTTGATTAACAAGGATAGATTACCTTACATCTTTTTCATACAGAGTTTTTGGCAGAAGATCTTTATCCACATAGACTGTGTTGGGGTAGTACCAGACTGTAAGATGGGTATCCTGAATTCCACAAAGAATGTTAGATGTGTCATTCCAAGCCAAAGTTTGAACCATTGTCCCTTAATTTAAAGATGACAGAATAATAATACACATTACCACAAGGAAATCCAAAATAAAGGTACATTTCTTAAAACTGTAGTAAAAGGGTAATTTATCAGTCATTCTTAGTTCCTTTTGTAAGGACTAGTTTTAATCCCCTAGTTTAGTTCTCTTGTTAAAGGTCTTTTCAGAATAATGGCTTTTAGACTTAGTTTTGAGCTGGAGATCAAAATTAACACTATGGTCAGATCACAGCTTCCTACTTAGTGCATCATGCATCTGTCTACAGCCTTTAGACTTTTAATTAAAAATATTAGGAACTTAAGAGTTTGCATGTACAAAAAAAAGGCCAAAAGATTCTATATTGAATAATTCTAAGGAATGCATCCTTCTCCAGTATCCTCTTAGCTGCTCACTCTGGAATGCAATAACAAGTGATTCCATGTTAACAAATGCTTTACATGTAACCCATAGAAAATGACCAGAATTTAGATGAAATGTACTAAAATTGTTTCCACCACTATCTTAGGAAAACCAGGAGACTATTTCTAATGTTTTTTCAAGTCCAATTTCACTTCTAATTAGAAAGCAAAACTTAATCTCTTGTGCTAGAGAAAACTCTGTTTGCCTGCTAGCATGTAGTTAAACAGTATTTTGAATGTTTCTTACCTATTTTGACAATCTTCTGTTCTACTCCAAACCGTTTAACTGAAGTAATGTAAAGATCTCTGTTCTTGTCAATAAAAGCTATTTTTCTTTCATTTGTAAGTCCCTTCTGGTCCAAAGCAATCTCCACAATTTCTGTCTGAAAAGGAAAAAGAAAATATCTGATTTTTGGTTTGGAGATTTGTATCACAGAAAGCATGTGATATGCAAATGAATGCTTTCCTCAAAACAAGGCACAAAACTCGTGAAAAACTGGATTGCAGAGACACTTTGTGTGTTTCTCATCTACTGAATGAAGCATTATAAAAATTGAGTTCTCATGTAAATGAAAAGAAAACTACAACAGAGGGAGCAGTTTAGGAATTCACCACAAAACTACAGAAATATAAGTGGCGGTCCCAAAACAAAAGCTACGTAAAAGATGACTCTCTATTCCGCTCTCTCTAAAAACACAGCCCAATTTTGCTTTTGTTGTATACAAGAAGGGTAAAGATAAGTAAAATGCAGTTCAGGCAATCATTTTTGGAGTAAAACCAGTCAAAACTCTGCCTGAAGACAGGTGACTTTTCGCTGACATTCTTTTCTTTAGTGTTGACAGGTTGGCACTAATAAAAGCTGCTTTGGAGGGCATGCAAAGGAAACTCAGCTGATCAGTTTTACTGCATAACAAAACAATCTACCTGTAGTTTCGAACTCTTACGTGTACAGGAGACACACACCAGTAAATGAACACAACCTCTAGCATATCCCTTTGTACATCAATGTTGCATAAAGCACATTGATTTTTGTTATTTTCTAAGAGTCAGGCGGAGTTGTCAAGCTATAAAGACTGTAAACCTTTAATAAGTTATTATACCCTTTATCAAGGAAACCCATTACTCATTCTTAATTTCAAAGTATAATAAAAAAAGAGACATTGTATTTTTCACTTTACCTTATGGGTTAGGGGCTTTCCATCACCCAATGGCTTTCCAGATAAAGCTTCAAATATGTAGATAACTGAAGAAGAAGAAGAAAAAAAAGGTGTATTAGTTATTCACAGGCTTTTCAAGCAGTCTCATTCTTTTTCAGGGTAGAATTTACTGCAAATGGATACTGATTACTGTGTGCTAGATTTACCAGTGACTTTCACACTTTGGTGAAAAAAAAAAGTAATTCTACAGTTGGGAAAATCAACTGTCATTGGCTGCTGAGCTTAGCAGTAGTCTCATTTTCCAATTGGAGTAATTCCCAAATATTATTTTCAGAGCATCAATACCCCCTGAAACATGACATATGGACTGATATAGAATTGAGAAAACTAATGTCTTATTTCCTACCACAGCTCATGTGGTTATTTACAGAAATGACACCGAGTTCTATCTGATGCAGGTTTGTGCCCTGCATTCTGAATAAACAAATGTTACCAAGGCTGGTAGACTTACTCAATCTTAACCCACAATTTTGATGAATATGAAAGTTCCTGAACTGACACCACTGACTGACGTATTTTCCTAAAGGAATTAGTATCAGATAGATAGAAAGTTGTCCTTTGAACTATTGGGCAAGACATTTCTCAGAAGCATTCTCTATTTTGTTAATAATCTGCTCTGGTTTGAGTTGTTAATACAGTGCTCCTTGGCCATGTTTTCTTCCAAGACAGTTTAGGGTTTCTGCTTATAACGATGATACAGTTAATGACAAAACATTAACAACTAGCCTCTTCAAAAAGTATCTGCTTTATCCAGATATAGTTAAATTTAATATATTTTTTTCAATTTTTACCAAAAGTCCATCCTTTCCACACTCTGTCTTACCCTCAAAAAAGAAAGAAAAAAAAAAAAAAGCCCTTCAAGACTCCCCCACCTACATCATTTATATTTCTGGGATATCGAGTGAAGACCTAAATTTGCAAATTGCCTATAAATAAGTATTCTTCTTCCTTCTTTCTGTCTTTATAGATATATACACGTGTGACACACACATCCATGTGCATTCAAAAACTATTCATAAATATTTTATTCATACATATTTTATCTATAGTCTGTGATGAGACACATGAATTTAGACAGATGTAGGCAGAGTATTCAAACCTAGAGAAAATAGTGATGTTGTAAGGAACAGCAGCTGTAATTTAAAGCTCGATTCTGCATTAGTGCAAAGAAAACAGATGGGACAGAAACACCTCAGATGGTCAGTAACACCCCACCTGCAGTTTCAGCCCCTTACCTGGAAGTCCCTACATTGCAAGATGAACATACACGTTCATTCCAAAGGATGGCGACGTGAACATGTGAATCCTGCTGTGTGTGTCTCACTGGGACACAGGATGTTGGTTTGAGGGCAATGGTTATAAAGGCAGAATTAAAGAAACAAAACAACCACCCTGTAAGAGCAGGTGTTCAGGCAGCACTGGCTGAGTTTGCGGAGGAGGCAAAGAAAGGGTTTGCATCAGTGTGGCTCTTGGCAGCTGGCTGAATATACAAAAAAACCTAGCTGTTCTTGAGAAGTGCTCTTTTTCTCACTTCTGTGCATCAAATTTATTTTGATCGAGTTATACAAGCCAATTCTACTGCTACTATGCTAGCAAGAGGAAGTGAGATTAAGAGACTTTTAAAGAAAAACGCTGTACCTAATTGGCAAGTAAGATCAGTTAACTTTTCATTAGTCTACAATCCTTATTAAGCTATTTCAGAAAATAAGTTTAAGCTTGGTTCCTCCTCCGCCCCCAATCTGGAAAAAACTCCATATCACTTTACAATCAGTTAGAATCTTTTATACTTTTCATTTATATATATAAAACTAGAGGGCATTCTCTCTCTTTGAACATCCAGAGCAAGAGAAGATAACAGAACACATTTTCTGTTATCACAGAATAATTGCTCTTAGGGAGTCCCCTCAACTCCCACTTTCAGCATCATTAGAGGCTGAGGAAGGACTCTAAGTGCAGAGGCACTAATCTTTTCTCTTTCCTGAAGGAGGAAGAATATCCACGTAAGAACACTGAAGCCCAGCAAGCAGTGTCTCTGTTTCAGAGTAAATCAGCTCATAGAGAGCTCTGCACCACGCCGTGTGAACTGCTCCCTGTATCAAACTGAGCTCTCTTGCATATTTCTATAGTGCAGTGTGTTATGAAAAACAGACCTGCCCTCAAAACAGGGCAAAGGAAAAAACTGCCTCTGCTGGGGTGAGTCAAGAGGAATGAACAGGCCTAGATAAGCCACGGTTTCCTGTGCCAAAAATGTTTTCCCATGTGCTGGCATATTATAAAGCTTTTTACCACTCCTACTGGGGCTTGGATCTACAAAAGAGGAAAAAAAAAAACCCCACCCCTCCTCATTGCCCTGATGGAAGCTCCTATCACCAGGATCACTTGGAGAGCTTATCTTGAAAATCCAGCCAGAAACTCAGCCTCTGTAAATTCCAGTTCTGATGAGGATTAGCCTGCATGCAGAAGCAGCTGACAAGATTTTCAGGACTTCTAATAGGAATGGTTGGGAGATGGAAAAGCTCTTCAGTCTGTTCAGGAAAACAGGCTGAGGAACGGGGCAAGAGAGTGAATTTACCAGCAGAACCTTAAATATGCATGGATATGGACAGCAGTCAATATCTGCGGATGAATTTTCTATATAACCTCCATTTATTTTACATACTTGTATTTATTCTAACTGCATCAAGGCGTCAATATGGAAAAATAGTCTGTGTTATACAGATTAAGACACAAACATAGATATACTTGTGTAATATACGTATGTAGACACACATACAAACCAGAAAATATCAGAAATAAAATGTAATGTTTCCCTTATATTTTTTTTTTTTATTAAACTACTGCTTTCTTCTTAGTTATTTACAAAGAAATATATTTTGCTGACTAAATTTTAATCACTACACAGCTATTTTCAATATCTTTAACGTCTTGGTGCTTGAGGATATTTTCTGAATTGATTTTCTTTCAGGATTAAATACACATTACAGTTATATTGCTACTTTTAAAAATAATTGTTCAATGGAAGAAAATATTTGTTCTCAACAAAAGATAAGGCTACAGAAGAAAAAAACCCAACATGCAAGTTGTACAGAGTAGCAAAAATGCTTTGTAACCAGGAACCCCCATGGGGTTTCCAGCAATGGAAGCAACTGTCTTCAGCAGACACTTCAAATTTAAATTGTTGCACAGGCAAGCTTACACATTGGCATCAAGAAATAGAACAAAGGAAGAAAACTGACTGACAAAAAGATATTCTTGTATAGCTCATAAATGCAAAAATTCACCTGATGCTCACGTGGACACGTGTTTTAGAACTATAGTGCTTTTGATGCCAAAACACAAGATTTAAGAGCATAAAAATCTTCAAGAAGACAATACTGAGATAGAACATCACAGCCTCCTAACTATGGTCACATCAGCTACATATGATACTTAGATGATTTAAAGATACAAACTCAAAAAAACTAAAGCAAAGAATGTCTGAGAACTAAAATGAATCACACCTAATGTACTAGTCACTTTGGTAGTTGCAGCCAGATTCTTGTCAGTGGTGCCCAGTGACAGGACAAGGGACAATGGGCACAAACTGGAACTCGGGAAGTTCCATCTGAACAGGAGGGAAAACTCTGGTGTGATAGTGGCAGAGCCTGGAGCAGGCTGTGGAGTCTCATTCTCTGGAGAGATTCCAAACCTGCCTGGATGTGATCCTGGGCACCCTGCTGGAGCAGGGGGGTTGGATGAGACAATCTCCAGAGGTCCCTTCCAAACACCACCATGCTGAGATTCTGTGATTCTAAGAGAAGCAGCCAGGCAGAAAAGCTTGCTGAGGTAGTTCTTCAGAAATATCACATCAGAGAGTAAAAACCCACTGTTCAAGTGTTTACTACAAATGTTCCCTGGTTCTCTGATACATTACACACAACTGGAAGTTGAGAGACATATGTAATTCTCTAAGTTTTTAAATCAAAGTTAAGCATGACTCATAATTTTCATTTATTTTTATAAGAAATATTATCTTTAAATGATATCCTAGATTATTTTTTTTTTAAAGTTTCACGCTTTCTTTTTTACCATAACTACACTAAGCAAAGTTAAGTGCAAAGACATCGAAAACCTCATAATACATTATTAGCAAACATGGAACTATTAGAAAGGAGAACTTACCCTTTTCATCAGCTTTGTCTTTTACTGCCAGAGTATCATTACTCAGAGATACTGTCTGGGAATTCAAAATGTCTGTTCTCATGCCTGGAAATTTTGGAGAGGAAATTAATCTTCCTTCATATGAATATAAATAAAGTCCTCCACCATCGACAAGAAGAAAATGCCTACAGAAAACCCAAACCAAACATAAAAGTAAATTACTAAACCAAGAAAATACAGTAATTTCTCGCAAATATAAATACAAATACATAAGAAAAAATTAAACTATTTCTTTTTATTTGGCATATCTCGCAATGTTCTTAAGAACTGGAGACCACAGATAACTTATATAAAACATACTCCAGTTCAAAAAAAGCAATATAAACCAACAACACCCCCCAGATTTTAGCATAACGTCAGAAGACCTACTTTCTTCCATAAATAATAATATAAATGTACATAACATATGAAAAGAATCATTACCACCATTATGGACCGACAGCAAATGTATCAGCTAAGCCTTTATTGCATGCACCCTGCCAACACAGTAGACTTTCTATTTCTAATATTTCAATGTGTGCTTATGTTGTATAACAGTTTTGGGAGGTGCACATTCACATCCAACAGTGAGCATGAGGAGAAGTGAGCTACCTTTCTGCTTGTAGAATCAAACTGACCGTTCCTTCTTTCAGGTCAAAGATTAGGGGGGTATTCCAGTTCTTTGTACTGGAAAAAAAAAATTAATAATTTCAGCAGTGAACTTCACAAAGTGAAGCTGAATTCACTAAGTAAAGCATACACATTTAAGTCATCTAACATTCCTAAAAAGAGAGGTTTTTAAAGGGAAAGCAGCATTTAGGAAGCCAAGTAACACGGGTAACTGTGCATTATGACCCGCTTCTGCCTTCAGTTTTGCATCCCCCAACACTAGCAGCAGCTGACCCAGGAGTCTTAGTAAACAGCAAAATTGTATTTATAGGAAACAAACATATTTTTAAACTATTCCTGAATTGTGGTTCAACTCTTTTGCAGTGATCCAGAGGTTGAACCAAGTCCCCCTCTCGTGTGTCCTGTTACAGGCTGCATTATTCTTCAGCATTAGTCATCTTGCTGAACCAAAAAGTGCCTTCAGGAGTATACTTTAAATTTCAGCATATGAAACAGAATATCATGTTCTTAAAACATGATGCAGGATTGAATCATTCCTATTCTACTCCAAAATAATGGCATGCCAGAAGCAGTATCCAAAAAAAAGGAGTCCCTAGATGGAGACACATACACACTTGCATCCAGCCACCATCCCTGCTGCCTCTACGGGAAAAGAAAGGCTGCCAAATTTTCGTAGCAAAACAAACAGGCTGTCATGGCACCAGCAAGAAGCTGAAGGAAAGGATGACAAGGGAGGGCAACTACACTCCAAACACATTTTGTTGTAGATGATGCTAGGTTCCACAAGATATTTCAATTAGTTAAAAAAAACCCCAAAGCACAACAACCAAATACAAAAACCAACAAACTACTGCACTATAAGTAAAATCTCTGCTGCTTTCTTACACCTGTTAGATCCACTTGAAAAAGCCCCATGAATTTGTTACTACTTACGAAAACACATAACACTGAAGAGAAGTTGAAACGACCAAATGCCCGTAGTTCAGAGAGGCCTTAATGACCCTGTCACGGAACTCCAACAAATCCACTGCATCGTTAATAACATTGTGCACCTGAGCAAAAGAAAACGTTGGCTGAATAAAGCAACAAAAATTGAAATGAAAACTAACTGGTGAAATATCATTTTCTTAGTATAAGTACGTGCAGGTAGAACGTATCTCCATGGGAATGGGCACTTTCATAGCACTGCTGAGAAGTTAAACTCAAATGTTCTAAAAACTCTGAATAAACAAGAGCTGGATGGAGTTTCTTAGACAGAAAGGAGTAACTAATGTGTAGCTGGGATACATAAGGTGTAAGCACAATATTATACATGAGCTTGAGAAAATATCCGAGATGAATGATATCTGAAAGTTTCCATTTTACAGCTCTGTGTTCAGTTGTTATTTAAATATTTGAAACATAATATTTCATTGATTCCACCAAAACGATACAGCAATATCCAGGGTTTGGATACTGATATGTTGTGGAGGTGCTGAATAGCTCCAGCATGGATTTTAATGCTACCATCCTTGGAAGTAAGGGAAATTCTGGTTAGCATCTTTGCCATTTCGGTGAGAATTTGCTCAAGCGACAGTGTTTCAAGAAAAATCACAGTCTGCCTGTAACCAACATACATTTTTGAGTACTGAGTTTTTAGGCAGCTAAACTGAAAGAGATCCTCTTATGACAGTTTTTATTATTTGCTCAGGGTTTGTTTTGTTTGTTTGTTTTAAGTTGTCACCATTCTGAGGGTGGTAACTTCTTTTTCATTTTCTCCATTATGCAACCAATTGCAAAACAAGGACTGAACTCTATTATGAAAGCGCAGAAACCATTTCCAAAGAGAAATTAATTGCAACGTCCAACACAGTAACACGTCCATCCACTTAGCTATTAGAGTACTCACAAAAAAAAAAGAATGCATCTAGAACTTTTTTTGTAGGCACTATTTTCCTACATAAATATATAGGAATAAAATAAAATCACTATAAAATAATAAGATAACAAAACTACTCTTGAATCAATGTTAGCTATACTTCCTCATTTGTTTGCATATTCAAACACCCTGGAGATTAATTCAGAGGAGCCCACGTGCTACGAGTCGATGTCTGGGAATGAAAGAAGAAATATGAATTTCTACCTGCTAATTTGTGTTCTGTGTTCCCAGACACTGACTCATGTTATCCCACCCACCGGAGCAAATTGTAACACAGCATTTCTGTTGTTACAACTTTTCCCAATTACATATTCAACATGAAAAAGAATCAAGACCAAAAAACATTTAAGGGCCTAATGAGGAATTTAGGAACTTCAGTTCGATATTGAGAATATTGGCCTGGTGTCCAATACCATATGTGTAATTTGGAAAATTTGTAAGAATGGAAATCTTATATTATCCCAGTGTTCAGAAAGTGAATGTTGTGAGTCAGTGTCTGGGAACACAGAGGACAAATTAGAAGGTAAAAAAATTTGTATTTCTGTACTAATTCCCAGATATTTGGTAACCTAAATGTGGATCCAGGCCAAAATTTTTCAAAAGAAGGATCCTAAGCTTAAGCTCCAGAAACCACATGTAGGGGCCTGTTTCATTTCCAGCAGTGCTGAGACTTGGCAGCTCCCTCTGAGGTCAATGCACGTTGCTCAGGATTCAGCTGGAAGCACCACGCAGGTACCTGTGTATGTTATATGATATATGAGAAATTTCTGTAGCTTTGGAAGATCTGAATCTATGCTGTAATACTATATGTGGTGCAGAAAAGCATATTATGACTCTTTACAGCTATAGTCAGCAACCAAATTTATCTGGAAATGCCCTAAGAAAAGGAACATTCATCAGGGCTTCATTAACACCAGGGAAACAGGGTTTTGGCCAATGTATTTGTATTGTTTTCTGCATAGACATTGTCATTACTCTTGAAATTATCTCTCTATTCTAAGTGGTCCTCATAGCCAATTTCATATGCTCTTCAAATGAGCTTTGCATGTTTTCTGGAGGCTAACATACTTCTGAGTTATGAAATTCTGGTCCACTTGGTGGTACGGCTTGGTTTACATGGATCTCATCTGTCGTACTAATGAGAATTATTTACACCATTTGTTAATTCTGCCCGTTTTATGATCTTGAATATTTTCAGTCATATTTACACAAGGAAAAATAGAATCACAGACTCGTTTTGGTTGGAAGAGACATTTAAGACTACCAAATTCAACCGTTCCCCTAGCACTGCCAGGTTCCCACTGACCCACGTCCCTCAGCACCACATCTCCACAGCTTGGAAACCTCTCCAGGGATGGGGACTCCACCCCTGCCCTGGGCAGCCTGGGAGGATTAAAAAATGCATTTTGCGTTAAAAATATCCTTTGAAAGGTGGCAATCAGAATACACAACTCTGAACTGTAAACATTACCTCCATGGTTCTCCTCTTAATTAATGTTACTTCAAAGTTCTTCCACTCCCAGCGTTGTTCCACAACATGGGCAAAAATGACATGTCCGTTTCCACAGGCTCCAGCCAGCTGAGTGCCATCAATAGACCAAGCGATACTAAATATGCTGCCAGTGTTCGGTTTCTCTAAAGCATAAGACCACTTGCAGAAAAAGAGAAAAGAATTCTTAATTTTTTTGGTACTTTTTGGAAATTATTTATTCTAATTAATAGAGTTGCAGACTTATAATTTTCTAAGAATCATCAATGAGCTAACATTTTATTACAGCTTCAAAAAGCAAACCAAGACTGTTAGATGTCTTCAGATGCCTAGATGTCTCAAGTCAGACTGTTGAAAAACAGGGATACAAAAAGGAAAACCATGAGGTATAGCAGAATGAAAAATACCACAACATCTGAACCACGTTAAGTAAAAGATACCTAGTCACAATACAGTTAATGTGGACTTAGTCATAAATCTGAACAATCACTATGTAAAAGTCAAGTGAACATCCTTGGACACAGGTGACACTGAAGTGTGATGCCTTCAGTTTATGGTGCGCTGACAGCATTTGCTTTTTTCCTTCTGATCCGTGGCATGAATGCAGTTAGGAGAGCAGCTTACATTTAGTACTAAATCTAATTCTGTTGCCTTTCAATCTTTAAATTTCCTCCAGTGAAGAACTTTGCTCTTAAATCCCCGCAGCCTTATGTACTTCTCTGAAGTTTAGCTGGATCCTTATTAATACACTTTTGACAAAAACTAGAGCAATTTTTCAACCAAGACACTTATTTTCTATTTCTTGCATATCAGAAATACAGCTCGGACAAATAATCCCAAATCTCCAAATAGATGTTTCCTGAAAGCGGATGACAAAAAAATGAAATGACCTTTTAACGATTTTTAGGAAGACATTAAACCAGGTTTAAAACAAGAAGTAAGTTTCAACTATCTCCTCTTTGGAACCATGTAATAGAATATTTATAAACATATTTAGCAATTGAAGAACTACCTGGATACTCAAATACATTTGAAATCTTAAGAACCAAATCAGTAGGAAAAAACATGTGATTGAAGTTAAATGTAGACATTGGATTCTCATGACTTTTGGATACATGATATTATACCAAAGGGAAGACAGCTGGAAGAAAATACTCACCTAATGCTTCTAACACATTTCATATTCTGATTTCTTTTGCAGTACATATCAACCCCAAGAAACACTGAGTCCGTCACACAAAGTTTTCATGTGATTTATATGAAACGAAATAAAAAAATCTGCAGTAAAATAAAGGTGTCAGATTTACATGTTCAATAGGGAGGAAACACAATGGGATGAAATTTGACCTCCCAGTTGTGCCATGTAAGATGACCTACTGAGTTCAGGCTCTTTTCCTGCTTCCGCACATCAGGGTGAGGGAAAGACAATGTCAGCACTGACTGAATCTCCAATTTCCAGCACTCAATTTTAAGGTTCCAGCTTCCATGCCTCTTGGCTGACAGACACACCACTCACTGCCCATAAGATCTGCACTTGGGGAAGGTAATTGTAGTTTTTGGAGGCAAGTCCATAACCTACTTACTCTTCTGTCCCAGCGGGATGAATTCTGTATGAAACACTCCATAGTAATTAAGAGCATAATATTTAACTGTGTCTGACAGCCTTATATGGCAAATGAGTAAGCTCTTGAGGTCGTAGGATGAATGATTGTAACAAGCACACTCAGAGAACGCTCTAAACGTCCTGCATCTGAGACATATTTTTCACAGCTGGCCAGATGTGATCTATCTGAGAACAGTTTGGAGAAGCAGTACTATTTCAAAACTGAATATTAGGATCCTCCCAAACAGACAAGGCTGTTTCCAAGGTCATTTCCCTTAGATCAAGAATATACCCATCATTCAGAATGAATAATAAAGGGGCATCAAGCCATCGACAAAGAACCAGCGTAAGGAGCTTGAAGAATGTGACTTTGGTGTTATTTTTTTATACATAGTAGATAAACTTCAGCTCTGAGAGAACGCCCTTTTTTTTTTAAGCCAAAGGGTTTTTGTTTGTTTGTTTGTTCTTCCCCTTCCCCCCACGAAACTGAAATAGTAACATATTTCCAGATTACAACCTAAATTAAAAAATAATATATATATATATATATAAGGCATCTACAAAGTTTTATTCTCCAGTTATTTTTGAAAGATGTCAGTGTAATTCGGACCACGGCAATGATTCATACTCTCCGTAGATGTCTGGTACATTTATCACATACACATAATGATACAATAAAAATCATTTAGCTCTCCATTTGTAAGATAGGAACAATTTTTTTAAAATGAAATAGCTGTTATGTATTTCCTAGGTACACTGAGTTAAGGAAAAAAAGGGGATATGAATAGGACCATATGAACGTTGTTCTACCATTAGCTGCCATACTATGGTACTGCTGCTTGGCTTATACTTTTCCTTTGTCATAATTAATTTTTCATTGAATTCCATTAACTCTCTCAAGAACAAAATCAGTAGTTATAGAAGTCCCATTATATTAAATAAATGCATAAAAGAAGTAACTCAAGCTTCCTCCTTCTGATTGCACAATGTAGTAGAAAAGATGAAGTACTATAGTCATGGAATACTGCCCGACTTCCACAGATGGCAACTGAGAAGGCTCCTGGGGCATCAGTGAAATGATTTCAATGAGCAGATTCAGAGAACTCTGTATCCCAGGAACAAGGACAGTCTTTCATATGTACAATATCAACAGTTCCTGGCTCAATATGAAGGATCTAGTTTGTTATTATTTCTGGACTGATTATAATCAATTACAATTGGTTATTCACATAATACCACAGCATCCACATTTGGAAAAAAACCCTAATAAAGATAAGAGTATATTTTCTTATATTTGAAATTCTAAGAGTAATACTGATGTCAGCTGTCCAAAGGACACTTGGTTGCTCCTGGTTGGTCTCTGTTTCAGCTCCATTTAACAGTATGTGGAGTTCTGAGCAGGGAACACTGACATAAGCTGAACTAAAGGCAGTAACTGCTGACCCTCCCCAGAGTCTCACAATCTACACAGCATACCTAACACACTCACTTTAACAATGGTCTTTGTTTATGACAAGGAAATGTGCAATGTCACCCACAATCCATTCCAGGAATCAGAGTGCAGAATGGACTAACAGCAAATAGATGCTCTTGTCCTTCTGTGCCCCAACTGATACACACCAAGCTGAGTGTACTAGAACCAGCCTCTGATCCAAGACTGACAAAGAAGTTTCAGCTTGTCTGAATCTGAGTACCTCTATTTATTTATTTATTGTACTGGAGTGAAGGCTCAGTTTTCCTTGTGCCCAATAGAGCATTTCACATTAGTGCTGAGGTAGCTGACATCTGAAAATATATCATAGCCTGAATGTCCATGAAATGGTGGCAAACAGCTCCCACCACTTCTGAGTGATGAACTTTAGTGTAAACTGCCTGGAAGCTTCTCATCAGAAAACAATTAATTTTCTGATGTAATGGAAGACAAATTGGATTTTACAAGATTACAAAAATCAATTATCCGAAGCAAATTCATACTTAGATGCATTGTAAACACCTGAATATGCACACATATATCGAATTAGTTTGTGGGAAATACATACGCTTATCTGTCCATATACACCCCCCCTTCGCCCTGATATTTTAGTGGGTATAAAATATTATTATATTTTACTATATAAAACTTACTGCGTTTCCAGTTCCTACCATACAGGGATCTACAAAAGGTTCTACAAACCAGTGATAATATACCTAACTGGAGGTAAGGAAATCCAGTGCTACAGGCAAATATAGGGCAGTTCACCTGAAGAAGAGAGGCTATCCTTGACACAACTATTGAAATACAAGACTATGAAGGGCTCCTGTTGCTTTCTTAGACTTCTGTTGAATTTGACCCCAGTAATTAATATGAATTATCAAGAACTAAGGCACAAACTCCAGGTGAGGTGTTAAGTTCTGTATTAGAAGAACAAAGATATGATATCTAAAATTATCCTGAAATCCAAGCATGTTCTCACAATTAGTAGATCCAAGAACTAAAAATAGGATGAGACACTGTCCCATGTAAGTTCTTAACCTTAGAAAATGAAACATGATGTAGTTCTTTAAATAGATTATTACTACCATAGATGAGCCACATGTTTTCATTTTCCTGCAGAAGTGACATTAGGCAACTCCAACAAATTAAAATACGCCAACTTGCAAAGAATTGCTCAACAACATAACTCCATGGGAAACTCATCTGTAACATTTTTTTTCTTTCACTGAGCTACAAAGAATTCAGCATCATGACTGTTAATAAAGGTAGATGAAACAGAGACAGGTCAGAAAACAACTCTTATTTTTGTTACACTGCCAAATACCTATCTTTGTGAAATGAGACTAAAACTAAATGTAATGGGATCAAAGCTCAATGTAACTTTAGAAAACAGGTTTACTTGGGTTTTCATAGTGCTCTAGTTTAGGCCAATTCAGCAGTATCAGATTAATATGAAAACATGCACTGCGCATATTCATCTTCAAAATCTTGCTCTCTTTTATATTCTTCTAATATCTAATGTTAATTAAAGGACAGATTATGTTAATTTTACAACAGTCACACAATCTACTCTCCTGAATGAAAATCAGGGCTTTAATGCTAAACAATTAAATTACTTTTAAAGCTTCCCACCTGCTACACTGTACTTTTAAAATTCTTAGATGCTTTCCCCCCTCCTCATTTGTCTATATTTTAAACAAGGTAAAAAGGACAAACACTGCCAACATTTTAAGATCAGACCACCCTTGGACATCAAATTAATGTAATCGACTGTCATTAAACTCAGGTCTCTATCTTTGAGAAAAAGCTGAATAGAAACATGTTACCAGAGAGCTCAGTATTTTTTAGCCACAGTGCCAGACTCACACTTATTCTAAATGGGGTGGGGAGTAGTTGTTACACTAGGGGAATGTTGTCCTTTGTTTTCGATAGATACTAGGCAATATTCCCTGGATTTTATTAAGTTTTCAATATTTTTTTTTTTTATAGAATTTTTAACAAAATCAGACATTGCATGTAGTAAGCCATGGAATATAAAGAGTCACATGTAACAGAGTAAGTCAAATATACAAATTACCTGTGTAGTAAAATGGCCACAATTCACTGTGACAGAGAAATTTTGCAGAAATGCACATTTATAAACATAAACTTACAGATTTATGCAGAGAATTGCTTTCACTACAAAGCATTTGCTAAGCATAGTGATGAAATCAAGGTAAAAGCAAATCAAAGGGCAACATGTAGCAGTTAAACATCAAATTATTTATGAAAAGAGACCATTGATAAACATTATCAGAAAAATAAGTTCAACAAGAAGAGCACAATTACATTGGAAAATGACAACCAAAAATCAAACTGATCAATCCCCATTAACAGTAAATAAATCATTAACAGAAGAAAAATGTAAAAGGCCCCCTCAAAACAAACATATAAATACATTCAGAGTCATTAAAATACAAATCTGATGTCCATCTTTGCTAACTTTTGCTGGCAATTCTAAAAGGATTAATCTGACCAGTGTTTTGCTTTAAAGTTTTTTTAAAATCAGTTCTCCTTCCACTCCCTCCAAGGTACTGGGAAGGCAACCTGTCTGTGGAGCAGATGGGTACGGGCCCCTTTCTAAGACAGTTCAGTGGGAGTGGAGTGGGGAAGGAGGAAATCAGTGAATTTCAGTCATTCTTACCATCTCTTACTGTGTAAATATTTTGACCTGATCAGTAATGTCAAGGGAAGCATGCAGAGCCACAGGAAATAGCTTACATAAATGAACTTTTAAAGCACTGCCCTCCATCTGAGCGATTAGATGCTGAAAAGCTGTGAACACCAGGAAGGCTAAAGTCTACCCATCAATAAAGCCAGCTTTACATTTTGATATATAGACTTTAAAATTAAACTTAGCGCTCTCGGCAGGATTAATGATCATGAGCATTAAAGCAGGCAACAAATTTCAACATCAGATAAATTTTGTTTGGTATTCTGTAGGATAGTCATAATGATTTTTTTTTTTTTTTACAGACATAAACCTATGGGAGGAAAAGTGATTTTTAAATGAAGAAACAAAGTGTCTAAAAGTTACTGTTAGATTTGTAACTTTGTTTTTCAATGAGCAGCTGCTAGAAAAAAGTATCCAGGTAGAAAGAATTGGAGAACAGAACGTAGACTAAGAGAATTTAATTTAATTATGTCCCCAAACAGAACACATATGCAAGAGAAGAGTTAATGATATATATATCGCCTGATGGCTCCCTGAGGAGCAATTTACCAATACAGCTCCATTACATCAGACATAATAAAAATGTCTATGTTGACCAGTAAAAGCCATGTCTGGTTCTCTTCAAACTCCATCATTCTGGTGGTATGTGAATCATTCTTCCTTTCCTCTCACTACTAGCAAAGCTACTTCTTTAGTAACTATTTACATTCATATGTCAGGAAAGAAACTTTCATGAAAAACCATAGCTTTTGAAGATAATAAATCATCATTGGTAGCTGCTGAACAGACAAAAGCATTTGGCACTAGCTACTGTACATGTCTTTGTTTCTTTAAAAGTTGAGTAATAAACCAGGTAAAAGAACTCTTAATTTTATGAAAAATAAACCTATCTGCATTAAAATTTCAAACAAACTCCACAAGACTGTTCAATATTAAATGCTGATGAAAACATGTCGGTTTTCAGCTAGCAGGAGTTGGAACCATATTTATAGTAAATTATATTACATAATTTCTTACAGAGCAAGAAAATCAGTGAGACCCCGGGGATCAGAAACAAAGGCTTTATGCTACAAACCAGCACACATGACAGCAGAAAAAGAAAACCAGTATTTTTCTTCCTTTTCTACTGCACCAGTCTTTGCCACACTTCAGCATGAATCTGTGTTGAGTGCAAAATGCAATTTAAATTGTTGGCCTCACCCAGACAAATGCATATTTATCTGCGTTTACCAGTTGGTGATATAGGTCAGTGATCCCAGTACTAAGGAAGGAGATGGAAAGTGGTTGTGGAGGAAGAAAGCATGGCTTAAAGTGCTGTGTTTAGAAGAAAATACAATAGTCTGGTCTGATGGTTTACAGCAATATATGTTACATAATATAGTTCAACACAGACACAATTATATAAATTGCTTTATATAAAATTTCTTCAAGATAAGTATCACTAAATTTGACTTACACATATCAAGCACCAGAAATTTTTCAAAGCAAATAAAGGGAAAGAAAACGCAGAGAAAATAGAAGCAATCTCTGCTCGAAATTTAATGTCTAGCTTACATGTCTGTCAGTAAAGATCAACACCAGAATCAGTATAGAAAGTGAAATATGAAGACTCAGATCTTATCCTGCATGGCTCTTCTTTTACAATTATTTTAAGGCTCTTCTTTTAAAATTATTTTAAGGCTCTTCTCCATGAATAAAATACTTGAAACACATGGTCCAAGCTCACAGTATGCAGAATTGTGCTCTACTGAAGATGCCCAAACCCACCACAGAGCACACTGTTTTCCCAATCTGAGCAAAAGGGCAAGAAACACAACAAGAGAAGAGGTAGAGAATGGGACAGTGAAAGTGTCAAAACAGTAAGGTTCAATGCAATAAGTCTGAACAAAAAGTTTCAGAACCATGGGAAATTCACAGAGACAGTCAGGTCAATCTGTGCTCTGGGCTAACTAAGGGTACCAACGAAGGCATATGAAATGGCATGAAATTAGTTTGGATTGGAGACCAAGTTGAAAGAAAAAAACCAAAAACTTAGTCAACAATAACAAACTGGGAGTAAAGCTTCAAGTAAAAAAAAAAATTAAAAATAAAAAAGAGAACCAAAGGTATCATTTCCTTTCTTCTCCCTCAGCAATTAAGAAGTAATAGAGATGCTCGGATGACTTTAGCTGGAAAAAAGCTGTGCCCTCTCCAGCCATCAGAAGTAGAAACATGAATGGTCTCTCTGCCCCTCTTTCACTACTGCTTTAGGCTTAAAATTTCTAATGTCTGACAATTGCATTTTGTGATCGCCTCATGAAATGTGCTTGTCAAACCTTAGTGGGTTTTTTTTAAGAAAAAAGCCTAATAAAAGCACAGGACATGGTTGTTCTACCTCTTTTTTTTGAGGCAGGTCATTGTTACACTCTCCTTTGCTTTTTATGGTTAATAACTGAATTTTATGATTGCCTTGGAAGAGAGGCTTGTAAACTCTTCATGGTTTTAAGGAAAAAAGCTTATAAACAGACAGAAAAATGTACTGTTCAGAAAAGCAAAATACTATTGAAGAAAAATTATTCAACTCAAAACATACTTAGAAGTACAGCTAAGCAGATCAAGAAGAAAATAACTCAAGTCAGACACACACAGCAGAAAGGTGCTGCAAGTAATGATTAGTTTTTGCTAAGAAAAATACCCACCTGTACATGTACGTCCTCAGGAATATTCACTGTATTACCAGTAAATCTGTAAAATTCCACTATCTCTCCGAGGTGTTACCTACCCCAGTTTTATCACACAGACGCAAAGTATGGAAAGACCCCACAGCAAATAATTCTCCATCCACAGCCCAGGCGATGGATGTTATAGGATAGTCCTGGGGCTGTGAGCTGTACAGCAGACGGCCATAACTGTCCCAAACCTTTTAAAAAAATTAAATATAGAAACACAGAATCATTCTGGTTGGAAGAGACCTTCAAGATCAAGTCTGGCCGTTAACCATACCTACATGAACATAGTTCTAGTGTATCTTTATTTATTCTAGAGTCATCGTTTTCCCCCACGATCACAGAAGTTGCAGTAAAACTCTCAAAGTTATTTCAGTGCCTTGTAGTGTAACAAGAAAAATCACTTATATTACAGTTAACTTTACATTAAAGGTCGTTATTAATCAATATTGGTTTGTTGAATGCAACAGACTTTGCTGCTATGGTAAGCATTACATTATTCTGTATAGAATATTTTGAACTAATGAGGTTTGTTTCCTGCAAATTACTGCAAGTCTGTAAAATAACCACAAAGTTTATTCTATCTGCACTCATTTCCCAACAGCACAAGGATCCTCTGCAAATTTCCAGACCAAAGAGATTTTCTCATGGATTTGAATCAACAGAATACCAGTAAGCCAATTCACTGAGTCAAATCATTTGATTTTAACAGTTTGATAATGTTGTGGGGGTTTTTTTGGTTGTTGTTTTTAGTTTTGCAATTGTGTATTTTTTTATCACAGCCATTGTATGCTTAGAGACTGGTAGAACCAACATATAATACAATTAAAAATAAGTTCCCACCTTAAGGGAAGAAACACGATGTGTGCTTTCTGTTTTGGATATGGAATATGCTAATAAAATTCCTAAGGGATTCACTAATGCTCATGTAATAGAAACCAGCAGCTTTATCTCCTCTAATTTTTATATGCCATTACCTTTTACAGTAGATGTCATAGGTTATATTGTTTCAAGTAATCGTTTCTATATTTCTACAAAATTTTTTTACAAAGTTTGTTTCATTTGCATTTTACCCATTTGAGTTAAACTTGAGTTAATTTTTGGGTTTATGCTATTAGACACAGTGAGATATATTTACAAATAATATACATAGGGTAACAAGTTTTTCTTGAAAACTGAAAGACTTCTAGTTTAATTTTGAGCTTCCAAGTATTACCACAATTAGAAAGTGTCAGAATATCCTAATGCTTAATAGACCTTTTTTTTTTTGTCATGTAGTTTCCCCTAAAAAGTTAATCAGTACTGACCTTATATTTACAATCTTCACCTGCAGAAAGAATAAGATCATTAACTGAGTTCCAGTCGGTTTTTAAAATCAGTCCATCGTGGGCTTTCCACTGAAATGGAAAAAAGAATATTAAACATAGATGCAACAAGTAAGTCTGACAACTGTGTTTAACATTTATCATTCATCATTTACTAGCACTCAGACTCCAGTACAGAGCAGGCTTTCCAACAGTAAAAATGCACAGATGTCATCTCTTCTGAAGAAAAAAATTAAATCCAGCCTGAATGAAAACACAACAATCAGCCATAAAAGCATGTTCTGAACAATTGCTCCTGTAGCTTTCTGCCTTCTGTAACTGAATAGGGGAAAGATTTCTGTATCTTTTTGGTTTTTACTTTATTGACAAAGAGGGAAATGCATTAATCACGTGCCTGAAGAATATCCACAGCAGAAATTGTCAAATTTTGTTTAGCTTAGGGAAACGAACAATCTCCTTATTTTCCAAAAAAAAAAAACAAAAGAAGGGGAGAAATGAGCAGTACACGTTGCATAGAAAATTTTAGCTCAAACATTTTATCTTGGGCAAAACTCTAGGTAACTGAAAAAGGTTTTCACATGGAAGTGTGAGACCATCTTAATGATACCTGCAAAACTTTAGCATTTGGCTGAAGAGGTTTAATAATCAGCTGCTTCCCTGAAGTGTAGAGAACTTTTTCAGAATCAGGTCCCCAGGCTACAGAGTACACTGGTGTTCCTGCAGTCAGACAGAAAGAAAACGTTTCTTAGGACTTCCCTGATCAAATTATGCAGAAACCACTATAGGCACTTCAAACTGGCTACTTAAAATCATACAACAAAAATGCAGGAATGGGAGAAAGCCAAACTAGGGGCACCCATTTGTCCTCCACATTCATTAGATTGCACTTCAGGCCACATTTACTGCTTCACTTCACATTTTAGATAGCCAGAGGAACAAAAGTTAGACACAGACACAAGCCAGAAGAACAGCTCTCTAGGCTTCAGCTCACATGCTGCATTTCCTTCCACCACATAGAAAGAAGTCCTGGCAAATTCACTTGAAGTAACCATGAAACACTTCCCAGTTTCAATGGGGCCACCCTAAATTGAAGTCTGAACAAATCAGCTCTGTGCAAAACCAAATCACAAATTGATAGCTTGTTCAAGAGTACATCTGGGTTACTGAAGATGTGTACGAGCTCACTACTTCTGTAGTTACCTCCTCCTCTTGTGCTGCACCCACTCATGATTTCAATGCATCACTTAAGGCCTGTGGATTGTATTGCAAGGGCTGTCCCAGCAGACTCTGATTACATTTACCACTTGCCGCTTCATTCCACGCTCTCTTTCAAGACACCTCTGGAAGAACTAAAATTGCCAAATTTCTTCCTCTGTTTTTTTTCAGTTAAAGCATCTTCATAACTAGAACATTTTGTTTCTTTGGCTTTGTTGAACTGCTTGTATATACTCCCCATTGTTTTTGTTTCCTCATTAAAATCTGAGCAATTTATTCCAAGATATAGGTGAGTAAAATAAGATGACATTAGCCTTCTCACATTTGAGTCACTTTTCATCTTTAAAGGCTTCTCTCACACAATGTACTGATCCCCTGGTCATGGTTAACCAGGCCTCTGCAAAGATTTGTGTTGACCTTTCCATTTGTAACATTTTCTCTGTTATATCCAAAAAGCCCTTTGTGGCCAGTTTGCTTTTAAGGTCTAACTGGATTATGGCGTCTTTCATTCAGTATTGTGGTTTGAGGCTTGGAATGGGGTCGTGACCTTCCAGCAACTGGGAGGACCCCGGGTGGGGGTGAACCATTGTATTCCCTCCCCTTCCCACACACACTCTGATAAGAGGCAGGGAGTGGGTTCTCATTTCACTCCTGTCTTGGAGCTTGGAGACGGAGGTTGTCCTTTCACTCCGTGGGACCCTGCAACCATTTCTGAGGGGTTTGTACATTTTATTTTTTGTACTTTTCCCCAAATCTTTGTATATATTATTTTCCTTACCTCCCTTTTTTGTTTTCTGTTCCTTGTTAAACAATATACTTCATTTT